ATATATACAAGCCACAAACACCCACCTAAATTTAAAAAACAAAACAACTTGTTAATAATGATGTATACTGAGTGACATGGTGTATTCCAGTCCACCAGGGACAGCTAAAGACTAAAATAAGAAAACACACACCTATAGAAACCACCAATTCCAACTTTCTTGAGTGTAAGGGATACAAGTTAATATAAAATAAAATTACATTAATAGTCCATATATATATATATATATATTTTTTTTTATTACTGTACATACTGTATACACACAAACAGCAATATATACACTGAGTGGCCAGATTATTATGACCACCTGACGTTTGGAGGCAAATTAGCTATAATTTCGTGCTGAAGTTGCTAGAGGGCCAGCCCATTATAAATAGGGAAGCAGTAGAAGTGATTTTTTTCTGAAGATATGGGTCAACAACGCGATTTAACAGCCTTTGAACGTGGGATGATTGTTGGCGCTTGGAGCCATGGAGCGAGTATCAGCAAAACAGCAGAATTCATTAAATCTTCAAGAGGGGCTCATTGTTAAAGTGTTTAAAGACTGGACTGTCAGCTGAACTGGTACAAGACAACAGAAGGGCGACAGTGCAGTGTCAGATACCTCGCATCACCTTTCAACATCTCACGGAGTCACGAGGCGGCCCAACGAAGTCATCTTGTGGAGTCATCTCGTGGCCCAACGAAGTACTGATGGGGTGGTCATAATAATCTGGCCACTCAGTGTGTGTGTATATGTATATATATATCTCCTCCACAACCGGGAAGTTAGATACCTGACATGCAGGTGGTTTGTCAGCTTAGCATCCTGGAACGGATGACGCGTTTCGCCCCTCCGTTTTCAGGGCTTCGTCAGATCCTTAGGATCCGACGAAGCCCTGAAAACGAAGGAGGGGCGAAACGCGAGACTAAAGATTTCCTATATTGATAAAATTCATATGGAACTGGGACTCCCTAAATATCTTCGGTTACTTTGAAGGAATTTACTTGAGAACTACCTGAAGTCTTTCCTAAGTGGCGACTACAAAGAGGACTAACTGGAAAAACAAAACTTTAAGACGTCACATATCCTGTGAGACTGATTGCCCGGTTAAATAATCAAGCATCCGTGAGTACACTATACTCGAGATTTTTTACACGCTGAGCGGTGGTTTTCTCCCCCAAGTGTGATTACAACTCAGGATTGCACTTCCTGTTGATTCACCGGGGTATCTTATATGTTGCTGTAACGTCTTTTATCTTCAATCAAGCATACCACTTTGTAAAATGTACTGTTTCCACTTAAAGAAATAATAAGACTTAAGTTAACCACTAACGGGCTATATTCTCAACCAACGAAATTAACATCTTCCAAGACTGATAGAAATACTGAGATATTTCAGAAAGGAATTCCCAGACATCCGATTTAGATTCTTATGAACCACTTGTCTATGGTCCAAGCGTTGTTTCCTCGAATAATCTGAGGACCACCCGATGATATACAAAACGCTGACCAGCTAGCCCTTAGAGTGTTTGAGTGTAGATATGAATGAATGGATTGTTGCAATAATCAAATTTTAATGGTGTGGAGTCAGTTGGTTTAAATAGTGCATCCAGTTTACTGTGGATTTTTTATTCAATAAATTACAGTTTTGTACTACAATTTACTCTCCGACCCTCTTCATTAGCTGCACTCTGTTTCAAACCTTTCTTGGTTGAACAATTTGCTTTGATTAACCTCTTGCCGTCCGCCCGTTAAGAAAAAACAGATGGACGGCAGACTCGAATCAGCGGGATCGCGAGTGCCGCCATCTCCCCTCTCCTGACCCCTCACCTTTCCGCTAGCCCATCTGCGGCCCGGGACCCGCTCGGGAGGGCAAGGGAAGGGGGTTTAACACCGCGGATGTCAACTGGTTAAGGAAAACCAGTGAACTGGTGACAGGTTCTTGGGCAGCCAAGGCTCACTGAAACACGTGGGGAGTGAAGGCTGACCTGTGTAGTCTGAAGAGCTACTGTAGCTCAAATTGCTAAAAAAGGTAATGCTGGTTGCCACAGACAGGTCAGGGTGCCCATGCTGACCTGCCATAAGTGCCTACAATGGGCATCAGGACTGGACAATGGAAGAAAGCTGTCTTTTCTGATTAATCACATTCTCTTTTGAATCATGTGGATGGCTGGATGGATGTGCGTCGCTTACCTGGGGAAGAGATGGCACCAGGATGGACTATAGGAAGAAGGTAAGCCAGCAGAGTCAGTGTGATGCTTTGGGCAATGTTCTGCTGGGAAACCTTGGTTCCTTCTATTCACGAGGACATAATGTTATGGCTGATAGGTGTGTGTGTACACACACACACAAACACACACACACTTGGAATTTAAAAGTGACTTACTCTAAAAGATCTGGATTAAGTCCTTCTGCAATCATTTTATTTCTGATGGCCATCACAGGTACTCCCTGTAACAGAAACGTTAATATTTAATTGAACTACATTAACAGGCGTACAACTCCTACATTGTGAATCTCATGCATAGGAAGTAAAGCAGTTATAGGCGTGAAAAGAGTAATCACCATCATCCTTTTTTAAAATACAATTTGATTGTTCACTATAGCCAACAGGCATCAACTCCTAAGCCTATGCCCAACTTTGAGGGCCCACTCACACCTTTGCGCTGTGGCAACATGCCCTAAACCATGTTACCACAATGCATGGCAGCACACCTGCTCTATGTGCATGCAAGAGACATTCATTGTGAATGGCAACCTAGTGCATTGTACATTAGAGCTCAACACAATGCAGAGCGCCACAACACATGTGTACATTATGTCATGTACGTTTTTTCATCTGCTGTGGGGAGATGGCAACTCATTCATAATGAAAGGATTGCCTTAATGCAAAGCACATTAATGCAAGCCATAACGTGTTTTAACCAATGTGCATTAATGAACCATAATGGAATGCTTAAGTGTAAATGGGCCCATAATAGATAAAGTAATGACACCCATCTGACAATGTAGTCAGGTCATGAGCTGCCAAAAGACACAAAATCGTCAACCAGTGTGCCAATGAAAAAAGGAGAATGGATGATGTCATCTGATGTTTATACACAAGTTTAAATCTTCAGCACCTCCAGCTCCTTGCTGCTATAGAAATTACTATGGTTACATTTGCCCGTAGCACAGCAATGCCTTACTATAAGTATATCCATGATAGGAATTGCTTTACTTACCACTTGGACCATCTTCAGATATCTAGCATATCTAGGATCTTTAGCCACAGTTGCAACACTGTCTGTCTGTACTTCTTTCTGTGATGCATTGTCATTCATGGAATTCTGCTGCACCACCTGCCAACAGTATGAAAAAGTCTATGAGCAGATAAAACTTGATTTCCGCTAAGCATATGTAAAGTCAGCTACCATTCTGTTGTGGCACATGTGACAAAGAAGCCGTTCCTATATTACCACAAGAAACAATGGGAAATCTCAATGAACATGTCTAACAGAATAACAACTGCCAGCAATGAGGCTTAAAATAGATGCATATATTTCATATATAAAAGGCTGTAATAAGACCACCTAGACCAATCTTTTGTATTAAAATGACGGCTCCAATCTTTTGTATTAAAATTACAGGCTCTGCACAAAGGGTCATGTATAAACAATCCAACACTCAAAAACATCCAGATCTATGATTCAGTGCATGTCTGATATTCTCCTATTTACCGCCTATAAAGCAGAACAGTTTGGTGCCAAGTTATCTCTGGATGACATCTGTTCATCTCCACTGAGCGGAGACGGAAGAATCTCAGAAAAATTTCCAATCTGCAGGATCGCTTTGAACTGTGACAAAGGTCTCCCTAGAAGCCACGAATACTATTGGTATTACGTGTCCAACAGTAGTGTCTTATGAGCAACTTTACATAGATAAGCAGCATCATATACTGAACACGTGCCTTTGTAAATAATACAGTTCATACGGTTATTACATCCGATCTGTATTTATATAGGTGGTCAAGCTAGGGGGCATAGATTCATTTGCATATTTAATGTTTTAACACCATGAAAGAACAAGTGAATGCTGTAGTCTTCTGAGGTCTCTGATTAAACATTGGTGACAGCTGGAGGATGCAGAGAAGGGATGTAGTGAGGGCAATTTACTGAAGAAGAAGTTCACACTATATATTGTCTGAATTTTCACTTCAAATATCTAATCATCCGATCAAAGCAACATCCTGTTTACTCATTTAATCTGCATATGATTGGATAACTGAAGTGAATAATTACACCATTTTTTGTGTAAACATTCTTAAGGTGCCCATACACCTGATCCCGCGATCGTACGATAATCGTAAGGTTGATGGGCAGCGTGCGACCGCATGTACGGTCACACGATTTTCATATTACGAGCATGCTAGAAAACCTGCCGAAAATCGTACGATTTTCGGCGGGTTGGTAGCGCGATCGCAAGAAGAAAGCCTCACGGTCCGAGGTGCGCAAGTGCACACTGCCCGCTCACCATTGCAATCATCTGTAAGCCCTCCCCTCAGCGGGGAGGGCTTGCAATGATCGCAAGTACGATCTGCCTGTCCAAGATGGGCAGGTCGTACAAACTTTTAATCACCTTACAACCATCACATAACGAATGTCGTGCGATGGTTGTATGGTGTATGGGCAGCTTTAGGCTCTTTAGTAAATGAGCCTTATGTGGCAGGTGATTGTTCCTCAAATGCTACTAATAAACCATGTGATCTCTTAGCTGCATTTAAAAATAAAGGAATCCATTCATCTGTCTTCTTTATAAACAAGTGTGCACAAGGCACAGTAAAGCAATTGTAGACTTGTTGCTAAGTCTGCACTGTGAAAACTGACAAATGCACTGTTGGTAACAAATCTACTCACATCTGACTGGGGTGAAACTGTTAGGGATTCTGTATCGGGCTGTGATGGTACGTGTCCATTGGTAAGATTGGTAGGCAGAAGTTGGGTTTCAGCTTTCACATCTTCCAAGCCAGGTATGGAGGAAAGCTGGGGGGACAAAAAGCCTTAGTAACTGTAAATGAAGTCAGAGCATTAGTATGACTAATTACTAAGTAAAAAATAAATAAAAATATCTAGTTCCACAAACCTTTGCATCTAAAATATTGAGAGTTATTTCAATCTGTTGAATGCGTAGTGAAAGAGCTGATAGTTTCTGAAACAATGAAGACAAAAGAGATATAACACAAAACAGGGTGCTTTATGCTTTCATACTACTCTCCAATAATAATGCATGACCTCATTTCAAGCCCACAGGGGCCAAAAAACACTATGGAAAGGAGTGCCTATTGGCATAAAGAATAATAAGCCATGCAATAACAGCACACAAAATCAGATGCCTGAGAACACAGGGAAGACCATAGTGGAGGTCTTTATTCAGTGCCCAGCCACAAGCTGACTTTATACATTTTGCTGACCTGTTATAGCGGACTAATTTCCTCAATAATTGCTAAATCTCTCCGATTCCTGTAACCTTGAATTTTGTATGTTTGAATTATTTGAATTACTGAATGAGGAGAGCAGGCCATGTATACAAGAATATTTCAATGTGAAACAATAATTATGGCCCATAATGAACTCCCCCCCCCCCGCATATCCCAATAGAAGCATCTCATAAATCACCTAATTCCCTATGAAAAGGTCATGTATAGGATGTATAGCATTTTATCATACCTCTCTCTTCATGAGCCTGCCTTGCAAAGTGCCTTGTTATTTTGGCTTCATGAACAAAAAGTATACTTGAGACTGTCATTGTTATAGTTTTATATTTTATTGTTGTCCCTGTAAAATGTCTTCAAATGTGGCACAGGTATGCAATGGCATAATGCATATGTATTATTCTATACAACTTTTGAGTACAATAAACAGAGCTTTATAAAAACAAAACAGGCCAATTAAAAACTTGCACAGGGCTATGGTTCCTCGCTGCCCTTATAAATGAAAGAATTAAAAACAGACCCAACACTGAATTGCAAGACACCAATTCATCCCCACACAGCTCCCTCCTCATGTATCACTTGCCCCTCCCTTTTAGATTGTAAACCCTCACGGGCAGATCCCTCCTTTCCGTCTTGTCTTGAATTGTATTGTATTGTATTGTAATTGTAATGTCTTCCTTAAATTGTAAAGCGCTGTGCAAATTGTTGGCGCTGTATAAATCCTGTATAATAATAATAATAATAATAATAATAATAATGCCCACGTTATACCAATGAATAGGGATATGACAAACCTCTTCACACACAGTTGAGAAGCGATTGAGGAACTGAACAGTGTGCACCACAAACTGATTCAGAAAAGCCACAGTTCTCTTCTGTTGGATGGCTGGGACCTGTACAGAAAGATATGCAAAGTTAAAAGTTAAGAACAATCCTCAACAAAGGCCATCAATAATCAATTGATTGCCCAGCAGCATGGATGGAGTTATCTGTACTGCTGGCTACTGTATTAATACAGCCACAGCAGTGATGAACCTGGGCTTGGTGTGAACCCAGTTCACCCAAGCCCACTCAAAACTGTGACCCCTCCCTCTCCTGGCCCAATCAGCTGCAGGTTGGCATATTCCCTACCCCGCAGCTACATCCACCCCCCCCTCCACAGCAACTAACACCACACTGATTGGGCTGGGATTGGCGGTCACAGCACTGAGCAGACTGGGGTCACACCAAACCCAGGCTCATCTCTGCTGAACACATCTCGTAATTTTCCATCCGCCGCCTTCGATTTTGAAATCAAAACTTTTGTGGAGACGGGTGGTGCTGACATACAGCAGGAACTGGCCATAATTAAAGCCGTGCATGGCTAGCACATTCACAGGTGAAAGGAAGCCTGTATCCAGCACAGAATACATCTTTTGTCTCAATAAAAACTTTTAACAGATGAGATTTAGCGGTGGTGCAACTCCTTTCATGTTGATTTTGGACATGGGATGAATCTTACAGAGCCAGTGCATCCATGACCTCTCCTGCAAAAAATATGAGCCTAGAGTGGCAGCTGACTAGCTGCAGCAGGTTGTTGCTTACTAAATAGGAATGAACAGAGATCTTACTTTTAGACTGTAACTAAAAAAAACTATTTAAAAAAAAAAAAACAAATAGCCCCACATACATATATCCTGGCAGAGCATTATTGGCTGTACAGCTATATCAGTGAACCTTTATACAGAATAACTAGGAAGTCAAGTAGCAGCACTAACCTTAGTGAGGTCTATCCCAGACCCAACTATAGGGAGCCCATCTTCATCCATCTCAGCAGCTCCAACTCACAAACACTTCCTAGTACTACAGTCAGATGTCAGGTCTCGTGACCGTCCCATGGAAAGCTCTGAAAGGCTCCGGAAGCTGGGCGCGCCATCTTTGATGTGGGCTCCGTCACAAGAGCAGCTCCAGAAAACGTAGCTCCTAATATAAATCCTGGCTGCACGGGTTTATGTAAATGCGCTAAGCATCAGTTTAGTTAATTTGCTGCCTCACGATTAACGTGAACTTAAGAGAGCGATATCTCACAAATACTTTTGCAAGGGAAAACACATCCGCAAAGACATGTCCGCATAGTAAGGGAAGGCGGCCATTTTGCTGGTGATTGGCTCAGACGCAAATGTGCTCTACAGCTAGCTATCCATTTATTCAGTGTAATGGATTGGAGAGTATAAATAAATTTAGTGTTTCATTAGTAAACGTCTTTACATTAACCCCTAGACTATACAAGCTTAATATTATGGTATTTATTATATACAAGAGCTGTTATGGAGGAAAACAACAGTGAAAAAAAACATCAGTGTCCTTAAAGAAGAACTCCAGCTTTTAAAAAAAGCTATTTTTTAACCCATATTGCAAAGGTTACCTGCTTGTTTTTCTCTAGGGGCCAGACTACAGAAGATATTATATTCACCTGATCCTCTGTCCTGTGGCTCTGGCTGCGGTATGTTCCTCGGTGTCCTCATGTCTAATGGGCTTGTATTAGACATGATGGCGTCACAGGTCCTTAGACTGATGGAGCCCGGGGGAGAAGAGGCTGTGGGGACTGGGCTAGCAGCCTGGCAGGAACGAGGATCAGGTGAGTATATCTTCTTTATTTTTGCCCCTAGACAAAACAAGTACTTTGAAGTGTAGGGGTAGCCCCACTGCAAGGGTTATTTCTTAGATTCCTGGAGTTCCTCTTTAACCACTTGAAGACCAGGTGTTTACACCCCCTTCCTGTATAGGCCATTTTTCAGTATTCAGCGCTGCGGTACTGTGACTGACATTTATTCTGTCATTCATCGCTGTACTAAAATTAGTTTTATTCCATCTTTTGGGGACAGACAGAGCTTTCTTTTGGTGGTATTTAATCACCACTGGGGGTTTTATTTTTGACTATACTAAGGAAATATTACTGATTTTTTTTTTTTTAAAGGGTTTTCTTTCATTATGTTAGGAAACATTTATTATGAACCAATTTTTTAAAAATATAAAAGATGGGGTCACATCGGGTAAATAGACACCAAACATGGTCAAGCCTTAAAATTGCACCCGCAAAATTGAAAAAACTACCATACCCAAAATTGGCCATAGGCAACGCTTTAAAAGCATTTACCGCTCATCAGTTTTGTGTTATCAGTGATTGATGGCCCTAAAATGATTGCTCTCACTGCGACGTTTGCGTCGATATGTAACGTGTGGTGTAATGGGCACAATCGTCATTTTTGCACGTATGCGAACCTGACGCATGTTTGTACGTGTGCATGTATGGGTAGGGACTTTAAACATTTTTTGTGGTTTTTTAAATTCTTTTTCATGTGTGATTAATTTTTGGTTTTTTTTGCAACTTTTATTTTTTTTTCCAATTTTTTTTGTTCACTTAACTTTTTTGTTATCACATAGGGGGCTAAGAAACCCTCTATGTGATAGCAAAGAGATGTGACAGGTCCTCTTTATGGAGACATCAGGGGTCCAAGACCCCTAATGTCACCGAGGGACCCCCAAGCAGTAGATATAGGCAAAAAGTATTTTTTTTAAAAAACCCGCTTTAACAGCAGTTTAAACTTACCTCGTTATCGCTGCGCGCTCCCGCGCCGAGAATCCGGAACTGCTCGTGCAGCCGAAAAGGATCATTGGGCAGGCGCATGCGCAGTTTGGATTCTCAGGCGGAAGACGAGCAGAGACGCAAGGTAAGTCTATGGACGGCGTGCACTCGCATGCAGACACCGCTTGGTCAGAAGTGCTTGCAAGCAGAGAGGAGTCAGCGCTGGATCGGAGACCCGCAGCACCGCTGGAGGGACAGATGAAAACGACAGGAAAGAAGAAGATCGGATAAGAGACATCATTTAAGGTAACTGCTGGCATTAACATTGGGGGGAGGGAAAACATTTTTTGAATTTAATGTCACTTTAAGGTTGATCACGAGTGGACATATTTCATATAATCACCCATTATATGTGGATTTTCACAATTGATGTACAAAGGTACACGTATTATATCATTAAAAACGATGTACTAGTTGTAAAGTTACATTTGATTTAAAGGAACTTTCGGGGAAACACGGTATGAGGTGAGGGAAAAGCACTCACCTCATAGTTCTCCTTTAATTGTGATTAGTGTATATTCTTTTGTATTGTAGACCCATTTGAGGTTAGTCTTCTCACATTGTTTCATGCACTTATATTGAATATTGCTTTACCTTATTTAATAGTGTGACACTGATTATTCACAATTTTATGTAAAAAGGGATCTATCTATCTATAGTGTTGCTGCTCAGCATACACATTGGCACAGGGTATTTTTTAGATATATAAATTAGTGAGTAGAAAAGCAAAGAAATGTACTTGAAATTGCAGGTAGGATACACCTCAATCCAGGGCCTTCCCAAGGCTGAGTGTCGCCTGAAGCGGATACCGGGTGACACCCCGCGATGACATCATCACGCATGCGTGGCCATATTGGTGATGGATGCCGGCAGTGAGAGGATGGGATGTTCACCCGGCGGGAAAAGGTATGCTGCCGGGTCCCTCCTCTCTCCTACAGCTGGCGGCTCTTGGTCCATGACTGAGTGCCTGACTTTTCAGAGGGGGTGACACCAAAATGACTGATAGTCACCCCTCCAATGATGTCACCCGGGTGCGGGCCTCACCCACCATGTGACGCCACTGGCCTCAAGTGAAAACACCAGGCATTAGACATGTGCATCAGCAAAAAATTTGTTTAGTTTAGTCTCTTTTTGATTCAGATTTTGCATATTTCGTTTTTCGGATTCGGGTTCGCAATTGAATTCGTTGCGGGATTCGGACGAAATTCGTTAGCAGTAGTCGTTTTTCGGATTCGGGGCCGCAATTGATTCGGACGAAATTCATTAGCGGTAGTCCGGTCGAAATTTTGCTTATTGGACGGAATTTCGTTAGCAGCAAAGTGACATTAGAAACATTTTTTTTTTTTTACAGTCTGCAGAAGATGAAAAAGAAAAAGCGTGAGGTTCCCCCCAATTCATGCCAGACCCTTTAGGTCTGGTAGGAATGTTAGGAGGGACCCCCCCAAAGTTAAAACAAAAAAAAAAGTGCATGGGGTTCCCCCCAAAATCCCTACCAGACCCTTTAGGTCTGGTAGGAATTTTAAGGGGGAACCAAAGCCCCAAAAAATGGGGGGGGGAAACGTGGGGTCCCCCCTAACAGTCCTACCAGACCCTTGATCCGAGCACTGGCCCGGCAGGGCAGGAAAGGGGGGGGGGCAATCAAGCGCCAGGCCACGTGCCCTCAGCATTGGGAGGGTGTCCCCGTGCCGATGGGGACAAGGGCCTCTTCCTCACAACCCTGACCCAGTGGTTGAGGGGGTCTGCGGGCAAGGGGGCTTATTTGCATCTGGGTACCCCTTTAAATAAGGGGGCACTCAGATGCCGCCCTCCCCCCTTGTGAATGAGTAAGGGGTACTTGTACCCCTACCCATTCATTAAAAGGTTAAATCAAATAGTTAGTAAAAAGCCCAGACTTTTAGATAAAATCCTTTAATTGACAAAAAAAACAAAGACTCAATTTTTGACTATTCCTTTAATTAAAAAAAAATGGCTCCATCGATGTAATCCAGCGTTCAATCACGATGCACGACCCCCGCCGAGCCACCAAAATAAAAAAAGCCCCGCCGCACGACAACCACCCGAACCCGAAGAAAACTCGCCGCAAAATGACATTCAGTCCAATAAACGAAATTTTGACCGGACTAACGCTAACGAATTTAATCTTCTGCAGACTGTAAAAAAAAAATGCATCCAAATCTCCGAATTTCCAAAAATTTGTCCGAATTTCGAAGCGGAACGAAACGAATCGCACATGTCTACCAGGCATTAAGCTGTGCTTGTCTGATATACTTGTTTGACAGTCCAGAACTTTTATTCCTAAAATGCAAAAGACAGTAAAATCAAATGATCTAATGTTTAGTTTGGGAAAACTTTAAAGAGACATATACACCAAACCGGAGCCTCGGATATATTGTGAGCTATTTTTCTTGTGCAGAACGCTTGGCAATAATATTTAAGAAATCATACGATATGGCGAATGAATGCGTCTTTAAACTTTTTTTTTTTTTTCATGTACTCAGCAAAGCCTCTTAGAGGGACAAGTTAACCTGTTCCACAAGCTTGGCTCGGGATGTTAAAGCTCTTGTAGGGCAGTAGATCACGTTTCAGCTGGTGTGTTGAAACACAGGACATGATGATTACTTCATGAAATATGACTTTTCAGAAGTGAAAAAGCCAAGTATATGTTAATTTAAGAGACTGACCTTTATTTCTTCTTGCGTAAGCAAATCTATCTCAATGATCCCCAAAGTTTGTTAAAGGGACATGATCACAAAGTTTGATTTCCAGGCTGAATATACTATTTTTTCCGTAAGTTTATATTTCATTCAAATTGACATTAGTTTTATATTTTTAATTACCCCATTCATCATGTTTCCTAGTGACAGTCCTATAACTGCTGCGTCTGCTTACCCCATTTACTGCACCAGAGAAAGTCCTTGCCTGTTGTCCCTGATGTTTCTTCAGTTATCTGAATCTATACTGTGCGCTGTGGGCTAAGAGACGTGGAGCTTGAATGGTATTGATACAGTGATCGGCCTGTAATTCTTCTACAGTTTACATTAACTGAAATATTTTTGCTTAGGATCTGCATCCCATCAAAATGCAGTGGGGAGATGTTCCTGCCAAAGCTCCTTCCCAATTTTTTGGTTGCCCTTTTAATTCAATTTTCGATAGAAATAAAAACTGAGCATGAAGAATAACACACCTTACATGGCAGTGACAGATGGCAAACTCGAGAACTGAAGCGCAAAGATTTCACCACTGGAGCCCTCTAGAAACTCCAGAAACTGTCCCAAAGAAATATCATTTCTGGGTGGACTGACTCTTCAACATATTTATGGTGGTAGTTCACCTTAGACTTACTCAATGAACATTAAACAGCCATGTAACACATGTACCTTTATAAATGCATAGCACCATGTTTGACTTCTGTCCAGGGCCGGATTTACTCTCTCTGCTGCCCCAAAGCCAATTTCCTAAATTCGCCCCACTGTATGCAGGCTGCATACAAGTGATCTCCGCTACATCGCTGAGATCACTTTTACAAAACAAGCCGCGGCTTCCCCTCTGTACATTTAGCCCTGCTTGCCCAAAGCAGGGCTAAATGTAGAAAACAACCACCCGCCCGGCACCCAGAACTGCATGTCCCGGGCGACGGGAGATAGGAATTCCACACCACTGCTGCCCCTCTACTCCCTGCTGCCCCAAGGCCAGGCCTCGGTTGGCCTTGTGGGAAATCCGGCCCTGCTTCTGTTCACACTCTGGTTATCCACCAATTAGCACTGGAACCTGCCAGCTATTTACCAGCAACAGCATGCCACTCATGAGCGCTCAGCCTCACTAATGCCATCTACATCCTGTGATTGCAAAGCCTGACTGTAAACTGCTTGGGGGCTAGTTCACACCACAAAACAGTGCATTCTGGCCCGATTCGGTGCCGGAACGCACTGGATCGCATCCCGGCTAGCTCACTGAGTTCTGAGGCAGGAGGGGACTTGGTGGTTCATTGAAGTCAATGGCACCGCAGCCACAGTGCGATTGGCCGCACCGAAACGTGTGGCACATCAATGCCTGCATTCTGGTCCGTTGCGGCCAGGAAAAGCACTATTTTTTCTGACTGCACTGGACCGGAACGCAGGCATTTATGCACCACGTGTTCCGAAGCAGCCGGGCGCATTGCTGCGGTGCCATTGACTTCAATGCACCGCCACACCCCCTCCCGCCCTAGAACGCAGTGAGCCGGCCGGGATGCGATCCAGTGTGTTCCGGCACCAAATTGGGGCAGAATTCAGTTTTGTGGTGTGAACTAGCCCTTAGTGCCCAATCACACTGGGCGTTTAATCGTGCGATTTCCACCGCGATATCTCGCAAATTTGCTGCGCGATATCGCGAGAAGTCGCTGTCCAATGATTTTCAATGGAGATGTTCTATTGAACAGCTCCATGTTGCTCGTCACTGTCGCGTGTCCCTTGTGCGGGACCCTTTTTCCCGCGGATGTTGCGCGATTTTTCTATTTTTGCTTGCAGCCCGACTGTGAAGATCGCGCGATCGTCGCTGGAACAGTCGCGCTATACCCAGCCGCGCGAATCCGCTCGAGGTACTGTGAATGGGGCCTTAAGCAGTTTACAGTCAGCTTTTGCAATCACAGGATGTAGATAGCATTAATAAGGCTGAGCGGTCACGAGTTGCATGGTGTTGCTGGTAAATAGCTGGCAGGTTCACTGAATTGGGCTGCAATACACTGTTTGTGGTGTGAACTAGCACTGAATGTGCTGCCCCTGTGCCATGATGCAGTCAAAGATGTAGTCAGTACGAGTAGACAGCTGAGTGACATCATGAATTGCATGGTGTTCCTGGTACTTGGCAATTTCCAATGCTGACTGCTGGACAACCAGGGCATACAGATGTCAAACTTGATGCTTTGCTTTTTTTTCAACGTACATGTGCTATTTGGCTTTTTAATCTGCATTCAGTAATTCTAGGGTAAGCTTCCACTTTAACTGCCACTGCCACTTTATATTGTATGGTAGCTCTCCTCCCAGTGTCCGCAGTATGTTCGCTAAAGCTCGTCTTACTGTCAGTATTAACTTCTCTTCAGGGTCTCACACAACTGTCCAGACCAGGGTATGATCATATCTACACCTGTTCACACTGCTCTCCGTGTGTAAGAAGGTCTTGTCCGTAAGTATCTGAAACTATCCTGTGTTTTCTTGTGTCGGCAAACCACATGAAACTGTGTACATGTATGTTTAGAATGTCAGTTTAAGTAACATATCCATGTTTATAACATTTTGTCCCCCAAAAATCTTCTTTATATATTTTAATGCAGTAAATTTTCATGCATTTGTACTCTGCATGTCCTCACATACTGTGTGGGGGCCAAAGAGGAAAGAACCTAGGAATACAACACAGCTTACATGTTAGGACGCAGAGCTTCAAAATCAATAACCAACTATAAACAATGTCTTTGTGACCGGTCACTGTTTCCTATAAATTGGATTTATGGCAGTGGGCAGCAGTCCTAGAGGACTTGAAACGTGACTCCAGGGCAACAGATTTATATTGTGGTTCTGACTGGGCTGTGAAATAGAACAGACTGCTTGTTATGTGCAATGACTCCTTTCCTGCTTTCATCTTAGATTAGTTTATTTTGGCCCATGCAATACTGTCTGACGTTGTAGAGTCCGGGAAATGATTGCGAAAGTAAAAAGTTAAAATGTCCTATTGGTATACATTACAGACTTCACAAGACAAACCATCTAAGCCCCACCCACAAACATGGCACCATTCTTCCTTCATATGTGCCCCTTTCATCACCATTCCTATGCTTACAATAAGACCAAAACCTCCCTCCTGCAATTGATGAACACTGAAAAATGCCCCTCTTCCAAACCTTACATACAGAGCACTCACAGGCACGTGTTGGCTATGTAATGTGAAATTATTTCCAGAGTACAGGTACATTTGTCATATTACCCTTCAAATACCTTTCTAACCCACACTGTTTAGACTGTTCACATACGGTTGACTGTTCCATTAAGGACAACTCTGTGGGCACCTTGGCCAGGCTGGGAAAAAAAATCTTAAAGTGATTTTAAAGCCAAAAGATTTTTTAGCAATTTTAAATGCTGATTAAATCACTTACAATGGAGGCTGCGTTCTTGATGTTTGAAGAAGAGTCAGCTGGTACCCTGTATTCCGACTTCAATTGTTGTATTAGCGATTTATCCCTTGCTGAGACCTCTACGCCTGGCCTGTATAAGCAGATATAATCACAGCGGACAATCCTTATCTGACAGCTGAACTCACCAAATACCTTTTCATCCACGAAGATCTTTCTTGAGTGCAGCAGGTTACAGCAGACAACAGGACGCAGCAGATGATTGAACAGACGGTATTTGCAGGTCAAAACATGGTAATGTTTCCCCCCATGAAAGCAGATTAACGTGTGTCCATGTCACAAGCAACCATTTTGATGCCATGAGGACAACTCTTAGAAGAAGGGCGGAACATAACACACAAGGGAGGGAATGCAGAAAAACATGGTGCAATAACCAAAATGCCCATAAGATGGCAGTATATTAACCAGCTATACTGGTAATATGCTAGTAATGTTTAAAGGAGGACTATTGGGATGACCCCTTCAACTGAAAGTAACCATCAGCATGCCCCTGGCCTAACACCTATTCTTGATCCATCTCACCCCAAGTTCTGAGCTGAAATTATGAGCATCCTTTACAACTCTCCCACTGCCGGAATTGCCAGCCATCACGTTTGGAAACACTGACAATTTATGACAGTAGTGTAGTCTACCAAGGCAAAGTGTTCTGGCGTTCTGACGGGAACACTTGCTATCTTTTGAAAGAAAAACAGGAATACAAGTTGATCTTCTTGTAGATTATCTTTTACAGAGTTATATAGAAGTGAGTGAGCGACGCTATGTGTTCGCTCACTTCCCGATCTATTGAGCCGACCTGTGACAGTTTCATTGTCACAGGTCAGCAAGAACTGTGAGGCTGAGTGATTTTCACTTGCCTCATAGTTCTCCTTTCAGAAAATTTACTTTATAATTCTCACTTAACATTAATATGAATATTAACCATGATTACGCATTGTGTCATGTTTATACAAACGGTTGTAACAGCACACCCTGATCACTGATATCCTGTTTTAGGGTGGCTCCTTACCATTGCAGGGTGCTATGGAGCCACCCTTGTGTATGCTAGTAAGCTGTGTGCGTCTCCACAAACACAAGGCACGACACTCCCCTGATCCCCTCTCCTCCTCCCTTCTCCAAACTAGTAGATGGATGGTTGCTGGAGACTGTGCTGTGCCTTATGATCTTGTACTAGACAGGAAGTTCAGGGAAGCCAAACAGAGTTGCAGCAGTTTGGAAACTTGATGACGATAAGTGCTTGGGCAAAAATGTAAAGAAATACTTTGCTGAACAATTTATATTTGTTTAATCTCAATTCATTATGGAAAAAAAAAGTTGGAGAGTTTAATATTGCTTTGAAGCAAAACCTGTGTCTCAAAGGTGAAATGAAATGTACTGCTTATAGAGACGGTCACTTTGTCTATCTAGGGCATTACATTTCATTTTTACAAACCTTCAGAAAAGTCACTAGTTAACTTTTAAAAAGGGACCTCCAGTTAGGTTAACAAAATCCCCAAAAACAGAATGTGGGGTTTTGTGCATTTGGTTTTACAGTGAGCTACTGCAGTATTTTAGAGGAATTGAAAAGACTTGTGGCAGTGCGTGGCGATGCCACGGAGTATGCTGGCAACACGGTCACCCAAAGCTGATTGGTTGCAGTGCAAATCTATATGTATTTGTTTTCTGAAGGAAGGAGGAAGCATTTCCTCAAGGTCTTCACTTTCCCAATCATTACACTGCAATCTTGTAACTTTGCAGCAAGTCACAAGGTGAGAAGTTGCAGCAGTGGGTTGATCTCGGTTGGACATTTATAAACAAAGCCAAGAACTACAAGGGAACCACAATGTACATGATTGTGTCATCTCTAAACCAGCGTGTAAGTCCATAAAGTAGATGGCCCTGAGTGATGGCTGAACAAAGATGGCACCGTCCTTCTGGAGAGAAAAGTGGATGAAGTCATTGTCAGAGGGAGTACCGTGATCTCTAGGAGAGGTAATAAATACCCGTTAGTGTTAGACTTATTCACTACCTATTATGTATGTACTTGACAAAAACATATACTGTATATCTGTCCAATTTATATACAAATCTTTATTACAAACTTTATAATTTTTTTAATACATTTTGAAAGTTTACATTTCAGTGAGCCAAAAAAACAGCTTTCGGTAACCACCAACTACACAGAGTGGCAGAGTCCTGTGCCAGCTGAGTCCAGATCCCACAGAGGCAGATCCAATGAGGATGGGCTACAGAAGAAAGGGCACTTGATTAATGTTCAAATTTAAAAACGAACCATTATTACCATTAAATAGCAAAATAAACATCTTACATGAGGGTGTCCTAAATGATGAATAAGAAGTTGGCTGTTCATCTTCCCTGGACATCCCGTGGTTGCAAACAAGTTCTCATTACATTTAGACCACCTACAGTGGAAACATGTCAACAGTCGTATTAGGGCCCACCACTTTAAAAACACCTTAACGTATCTGCAGAGCACACTTTTTTCACCTTTTGTTAACCCTTTGTTACACATTATTTGCTTTAACTAAAGCATATCTAAAGCTAAGAACATGTAAAATATTGCAGCTTACCAGTCCTTAGATGTGCTGGCTCCATTAGGTTTTGCTTTACAGGCTTATTTCCTTTATTGAAGATTTTTGTTTATTTATTTAATAAGGTTCATGTATGACACGCCTTTTATGACACCTGCTGACACATTTTATAACGTACTATAAGTTTTTACACAAATATTTATTATATATACACTGTTTCACGATTGCTTGACACGGAGGTGACACCATATGATCCCTACCGTTATCTAATTTCCTGAAGGGCATTTAGCGCTGTACACTTCATTACACCATTATTGTTAAACTACAATATATCACTATTTTGTTCTTGGGTTTACATGTTGACTCTTTTATATCCCTGCTCTCATTTTTTTTTTCTTGCAACAAACAATGGAATACTGTCTGTGATCCTCTTTTATTCAAGTGAGAAAGTCAGATAAGAAAGACCGGGGTATGAAATCAATAACCTTAAAGTGATATTAAAGTCAAAAGACTTTTAAGCTATTTCAAATGCTGATTAAATCACTTACAATGGATGCTGCTTGTTGATGTTTAAAATTTTTAGTACTTTTTTGTTGTATAGTAAAAAATAAAAACCCCAGTGGTGATTAAATACCACCAAAAGAAAGTATCTGTCCCCAAAAAATGGTACAAAATTAATTTCAGTACAGCGTTGCATGACGGAATAAACGTCAGCCAAAGTACTGAAAAATGGCCTGGACAGGAAGGGGGTGTAAACACCTGGTCAGCAAGTGGTTAAACTGGAACCCCAAATTAAGTCAAATGTAAAATTGGATTTTTGGTATAAAGAAAACAAAATTAAAGAAAAAAGGTTATAAAACGTATATATACCTGAACAATCTTGCTCTGTCAGCATGTGAAGGCTTATTATCCTGAGGATAGCTGAAACAAATTCAAAATATTAACTTTGTTTCATATAGTAATAGGGGAGCCTATAGCAAATAACAGCACTTGAGTAAGTCATATGGGTAAGTGTCTACTTATTTACAATCATTCTATAAATCAAAATAAAAGAATGGACGGAATGTAATATTGTAATGGTCTGCAGCTATTTCAGAATCTTTTCACAACAATTTAGTGACTCCACCCTAAACCTGGCCTGGAAGGGAGCTAAAGAAGGACCTTACCTCAGGCCTTGTTCACACCAAATGCAGACCAGATCTGCATGAGTTTCTGCACAGGCAGATGCGTTCAGGGCTGTTTTTGGTTAAAAAAAAATTCATTTAAAATGGGCTTTCAGTGCGTTTGCATGCGTTTTTGATGCGTTTTCATATGTTCCAGAGCAGGTAAAATAGGGCTTGCTGCAGTTTTTTTAAAACATGCTCTGGAACTGAACGCTGCAGTGGGAACTAGAGCCCAAAATACCATTGGGACACATTGGACACAGTTTTGATCTGGTCTGTAACAGATCTGCTCTGCTCCTAGACCGTGCTTGTTGTGAACAAGCCCTCAGTGTGGCTCTCATTCTGTGTTTGCTGCAGTTAACGATTTTTCAATTTGCTCATCTTCTTTTAGAATGCGTTTTACACTTCACCTAAACATTGTATCATTTGCTATTGAGCTTTAACTTGGAGAGAAAATTAGCATAAAAATATCACAAAAGTCCCCTATGTAAAAGAGAAAAAAATGAGCACTAACCTTGAGCGTGGCATCTCCCAAATGACCCAGTCATTTCCTGCAACTGCTCCAACTCTGAAGGTGTTCTTCAAGCACCAGTCTGCAGACATCAGAGGCACTTGCATAGACTCAAGGGAAAGAATGGCCTGATGTGTAGTCAAGTCATAAAAACGTATGGTGCCGGTCTTTTCTGCTGTCATTAGCTAAAGAAAAGCAGAGGTTTATACACTATAAAAAAAACAATTAAACAATTAAAATTGTAAACAATCAAAATGCATTTAAAGTATCGTTAACCGTTTCAGCTTCCAAAATATTTGTAACTCTGTTCTTCCACTCTTAACCTCAAGGTAGAGATCAGTGGAGAACTGGACCACAGGAGCGTGTGTGACCTAGTATGGTCTTTGGTCTTCAATGGTTGCTCTTGATCATCAAGTGTTATTCATTTGATGCTCGAGGTACACCAAAAGAAATTGCAAAAGAGGGTCACAATTATTTGAGTGATCCAGTGTAACAGTAATGATCCTAATGCAAAGTACATACAAAGTAGCCAACAGGTTTCAGAGGCTCACAAATCCCCTTTCAATCAGGACTTTCTCCGTGGTATCCTTCAATGAATGGAAGAGAATTTACTATTCCGCACCACCTCACCCTATATACCATTCTGTACATTACACTTAATGAGGCAGCGCAGAATAGGCACTTTTATACAATGTACACTTATCATTTTTCTCTGGCCCCTTGGCTGAATAAGGACCTACCCTCCCCTTAACTGATCTATGCTTACCTCAAGATCACCACCGCATCCTCTTTAGGTTTTTTTGTCACCAGCCATGGTAATTAGGGTGTTATAAATTGGTTTTGTTTTTTCTGCTGGGGTCCATTTACATTTTTGCTATGTGGCCCTGTGAATTTTTAGGTCCCGGCCAATGCTTTTTTTCCCAGCCATGTGAAGAGGTGAGGACTGAGGAGGAGGAACAGAAAGGTAAAACAGCACAGGCACACTGTTCCACTTACCACCTCTAATGCTGCTGTCCCCTTTCTGAGCTGGACTGACAGTGTGCAGATAAAGAAAGGGGAAACACAGTTCAGTCCTGGAGTTCTGCTTATGCAGAGCAGAGAGAGACGCACACAGGTCGGGTGCTGTCCTAGGGGTGCACCCTCACTCCACTTCAAACCACAACTTATATGTAACAGTCAAATGCCATGCCGCTCAGTCCCTAAATTCAACTCCTGAAATGTTTCACTGTGTGGCTATTCGGTTATTAAAAAAGGTTTGAAGTGACATACGGCCTTTCATTACTGCAACTGGCCAAGGTAAGTCTAGAGCAACTGTGGTTTGTGCTGCCTGTCTCCAGGGAGTTACTGGGAGGCCATATGTATACCCTCACTGGTTACTGTATAATTTCATCTCCTAAAGGCCTGTCACTATCAACCCATAGCACGGTTAGCCTCATCCAAAGGGTAAGTTTATTCATCAGGACAACATAAGCAGAGTCCCCCACTTGGGACCTCCTCCTCTCATAGAAGACTCTCTGCTTATGTTATCTGGATGAATAAAGTTACCAGCATTTTTTTTTTTACAGTGCAGACTGTCTTGCTTTGGGTAAGTGCAATTCTGCATCTTCCACTTTGGGCATTGGATGACTTTGTCCTGGCAGTCCTGCTGCTACTGAGGATTTTGAAAGTCTGGTAAAGGGGGTATGGGCACATATTGGGGGGTCTGTAATTGGTTAGGAAACCCCTGCCCACAGAAATACAAGTAAACAGTTAATAAAAAGTAAAATGGGCCAGAAAAAGAAAAGGTAGGCGTGAACAGCTCACTCCTGAAAACATGTAGCACATGGCACAGTGCACCCAGTGATGCATTTATACCTGCAGCTTCCAGGGTTAACCATAAGCGCATACCTACCCAACATGCACATGCCCTGGACTGGAAAATCCTCACAACTCATGCGCTACTGGAAATTGGGCAACAGAGCCACATCAGCATCTGCAAATGTGGAAAAATGCATTCCTGATATTGCTTTCCAATAGTTAAAACCAGTGTCACAGCGAGTGTGACAATACAATTGATTAGAATGCAGCAACCCTTTGTGCATAGAATATAACTGGGGGTAAAACAAGTTGGCAGTATATAGCAGACTGCATTTCAACTTATAAAAAGAAACCACATGTACTTGATCCCATATAAAAGTGACACATTACCTTGAATGCTTCTTCTGGATGCCAAGCCACACTCATCCCAGGAGATCGCAGCATAAACTTGGCTATCTGATTTCCTCCTAAATCCCAAATTCTAAAATAAATTATAAAGAAAGAAAAAGCAAAACATGAAAGTAGAACTTTGGCCTCCTATTAACATTATGAGCTGCAACACTTAATTACACGTGCATCTATCTGCGCATTAAGTTTTCTCTAAGTCCCACAAATATCTGTTGATCCCTTCAGTGAAGTTCACCTTTTGTGGTTGTGTGGCAAGGATGCTTCCCTGCTCCAGAATTAAGTGCAGAGTTACCACTCTCAGGTTGACTGTGCCTGCTTGCACTACAGTGGGATGGAAAAATGTTGCAGGTGGCATGGCTATCAGCACTGCCACTGCTGATTCACAATCCCGTAGGTTCATGACTTTTCTCTGACGCCCATTTGTTCTGCATGCATCACTAAGAAGCATTCAAGCCGGAAAACTAGCATTTTTAGAAGTCAACAATGGCAGTATCCATCTTTCTTTCATGGCAGTACCCATATTACTTTCTTGTGTACTGTAATGCATACACCAACAAAAAAGAGCACAAGGATCACATTTGTATTCACAAGCCAAGTGGGGATCTGCATTTATTATATTGTTTTACATGCATATAACAGAGACAACCCCCCAGAGCAGTGCTGTAATGCATGGCATTAAAATGACTGGGTATCCAGGCACACATTTAGACACCTGCCGTGAGCTCCAGATATGTGCAGGAACAAGCCCTACTACCAACCAAAGGCAATAGCTAGACTATGGCATGTGATCGCAAAGCAACTCCATGTAGAGATCATAAGGAGGAACTGTGGAATAATATAAAATTGCTTATGCACAGTGTGGTCAAAATTATGTAAAATGTACATACTTTTAGGAGTATAGGCACTAAGCCAACAGCTACCAAAGGGTAAAATACAAATATTAGCTATTAAAAGTGGTTGATAAAAAGGTATGGCATGCGAAGATGTAACAGAATAATCTAATATTGTAAACCCCAATGTATATAGAGACTATTTATGGATAAAAGACAGGTCTTTTTTTGCCTGAATGAATGGATGCAAGTCTCAGCTGTAACAGCTACACTTTACAAGAGAAATTATGTATTTGAAATTAGGCAGAATGAGAACAAGTTGACCTTTTGAAAACGCTCTTGGTGTTCTTTTAGAGTGTACTTAGTTTTTAATATAGTTGGCAATGCTTTCTGGTTTCTTTCCAATGTCATAATACTTTGCCAAGATTTAAGCCATCGCTACACAGAAACATTTGAGAAGCAAATGCCGACAATGTGCTGATTTGAATTGGAGAAAATGGAACTCAATAAACCCCTATTTAGGTTTAGCTCTTGACTATGAAAAACAACAAAATAGGATTTTTGTACTTACTGTAAAATCCTTGTCCATTGGGGACCACAGGAATTCATATACTGTAAGGTCATACTGCTATCTACAGGTGGAATGGACATTGGCAAACAAAAAATTGTGGGCCAGCCTTGTATAAATCCTGCTGCTCCCAGCATGCCTCAGTTTTGTGGCAAAGCAGTACCAATGGCATTAATATAAACAGAGTGATAAGGTCTGTGCCCCTGAAAGGACTTCAAGAAAAGTATTTTTATGGTAAGTTTTCCTTCTTGTCCACTGAAGGCACAAGAATTTACTATAGGGAAATCCAAAAGGAGTTCAACTGAGGGGTGGGCAACAGAGCAACAACCTCCCACAAGCCCAATGAAACGTAACAGGGGGACTGCCAGCAGTGCAAAGGTCACCTGAAGAACCAACGCCAAAATCTGAGACCTGATAAAGCCAAGCCCCCGACCTGAAATAAAAAAAAGCAGATGGAAGGAAGGAAGGTTTGGTGGAGAAACCCTTGTTGGCAAGCACAGAGGTAAGACATTTCTTGTAGTTGGTTACCAGGTTTGCACACATCTCAGGAGGGATTTTGGTCCACTCTTCTTTACAGATCTTCTCTAAATCCTTAAGGTTTCTTGGCTGTTGCTTGGTAACTCGAAGTTTCAGCTCCCTCCATACATTTTCTATAGGATTAAGGTCTGGAGACTGGCTAGTCCACTCCATGATCTTAATGTGCTTCTTCTTGAGCCACTGCTTTGTTGCCTTGGCGGTATATTTTGGGTCATTGTCATGCTGAAAGAACCATCCACGACCCATCTTCAGTGTTCTGGCTGAGGGAAGGAGGTTCTCATCCAAGATTTTACAATACATGGCCCCGTCCATTGGCCCCTCAATGCGGCAAAGTCGGCCTGTACGTTTAGCAGAGAAACAGCCCCAAAGCATAATGTTTCACCTCCGTGCTTGACTGTAGGGATAGTGTTCTTGGGGTCATAGTCAGTGTTCATTGGCAAACTTAAAGAGGGGGGCCTTGCAGGCACTGCAGGATCTCAATCCATGGCGGTGTATTGTGTTACCAATGGTTTGTTTGGTGACTGTGGTCCCAACTGCCTTGATATCATTCACATGCTCCTCCCGTGTAGTTCTGGGCTGATCCCTCACTTTTCTCATGATCATCCTTACCCCATGAGTTGAAATCTTGCATGGAGCTCCAGACCGAGGGCGATTGATGGTTATATTGTATTCCTTCAATTTGTGAATAATCGCTCCAACAGTTGTTTCCTTCTCACCAAGCTTCTTGCTGATTGGTCTTGCCCATGGTGGTGAGGTGTGAATGGAAGAAAGAGATTCTGTGGACAGGTGTCTTTTATATACATAATGAGTTGTCGTTAGGAGCACCTTCTTAAATTGACAGGACTAATCTGTGTACCACATAGCCAGTCTGTGGGAGCCAGAATTATTGTTGGTTGGTAGGTGATCAAATACTTATTTTACTCACTGAACTGCAACTCAATTTATAACATTTGTATCATGTTTTTTTTCTGGATTTGTGGTTGATATTCTGGCTCTATCATTATAGACCTTTCATTTCTCTGTAAGTGGGCAAACATGCAAAATCTGCATGGGATCAAATAATGATTTTCCACACTGTATATACTGTGTCTATGAACAGAGATACTGCTGCCACAGGATGCAACTAGGCCCAAGGACTTAAGTACACAAAATCCCAAGCAACTGGTGTTGATGAGGGTCAGAGGGCTGGAAGTGACCTGGTAACTGTAAGCATGCAGTAGGAACAAGCCAGAGTTCTATGTGGTAATTGGAAAACAAGAATAGCAGCTGGTGAAGGATTCCTCTACATTTAATTACAGGACAGAGAGTGCATGACATCCCACCTAGAGGATGCACTCAGTCCCTCAGCATTAACCCTTACCACTGTGGTAGAAAATGTAAAAGGCAACCAATGGTGCTATAGTGGGGTAACTTCTGATGCTTCAGCCCATCTCACCTTACTCACAAAGTAAGACTTCAGAGACAGGGTCACCCCTACTGCTTTCATTGTATTCTGACAGCGAAACACACTGTACAAATTCAAGAACCGGTCAGAATGTGCATAGTGTATGGCCAGCTTTAGAGGTTATCCTGGGCTGGGCCACAATTTATTTACTTGGCGGTGTTCATTCCTCCTGCAGATGGCAGTAAAACCCAGCAGTATCTGAATTTCTGTTCCCTTCAATGGACAAGAGAGAAATTATAGTTTAAAAATTTAGAGCCTCAAAAAGGAATTTATGAATTTTCGTTTTAGATTTACATGTAAAAGATATAAGCTTGTTGTAAATCTTATGATGGTGGGTTTCCCATTTTTAAAAAATGTGTTTATATGTATAGTTTGTTATTGTTTAAGAGACAACCATATTTGCTCATTAAATGCCCTGTCTTCTTACCTTGTAGAACTACACAGTGGTTATGTTTTACTGTTCCTTCTCACAATCCAAGTCTATGTGGTGACTAGCTGATTAAAAATAATTGACTTCCTATTTGGCTCATATGTTATTCCAACCACTGTTAAAATAAATATTTCCCAAAACAATACAATGGCTGACTTTTCATTCTACTAATATTAGTTACCTGGCTGCTATGCTGCACCCTTTGTTTTAAAACTCTAAGGAGTTTGACTTACTAAAGGCAACTGGGTTGTTCACTTTGCAGGGGGATGTTTCCCTTAACTTAGTGAAAGAGGTAAAGCTCTGCTGGCTTCCAGCATCCAATCACATGTTAGCAAAAAAAGTTATTTTTTCTAATTTTCCTGAGTATTCATGTGATTGGGTATTCTTGCACAGTGAAAACTCCTTTGCAAAGTGAACAGTTCATTTAGGAAATCAACCCCCCATGCATCTAACCTAGAACAAGTACGCATACAAAAAAACTAGGGATGCACCGATACAAGCATCAGTATCTGCGCGATACCGAGTATTTGCATGAGTACTCGTATACAGAGTGTTCATGTTCTTCATAATATTAAGGAACTGACCTAAAATCATGATTTTGTATTGCTTTAGAAAAAATGTGACCTGTCCCTTTAAGAAAAAGTATCGGTAATTGGTATCGGCCTTAAAAAAGTGGTATCGGTGCATTCCTAAAAAAAACCTTCCTAATCTGCATACTTTTCCAAATCATTTGGCTGATTTACTAAATGAAAAAAGGCTGTTCACTTTTCAAAGTGTACAGGTGAAACTCGAATAATTAGAATATCGTGCAAAAGTAATTGCAGTAAGTGCTGCAAAAGGGGCCCAAACCAAGTACTGAGTACATATGCATGCTTGTACTTTTCAGAGGTCCGATATTGTTCTATGTACAATCCTTGTTTTATTGATTGCATGTAATAATCTACTTTTTTGAGGTTGTGGATTTGGGGTTCTTGGGGTTTTCATGAGCTGTAAGCCATAATCATCACAATTATGACAAATCACGGCTTGAATTATCTTGCTTTGCATGTAATGAGTCTATCTCATATATTAGTTTCACCTTTTAAGTTGCATTAGTGAAATAAATGAACTTTGCACGATATTCTAATTATTCGAGTTTCACCTGTATGCTAGTAAAAAAAAAAAGGGAACCTTTGTTCACTTTGAATACCCAAATAAAGTGCAATTAAACATACTGGATTTTTGATTACAGGCCTGGTTTGTTAAACCGAACACAGCTTCAGCGTATTCACCAAGCTCAGTGAACACTTTGCTCTCTTTGCTCAGTGCACAGTCTTTGCTCTTTAATTAAAGCCCAACTCCAGGCTGGAAGAAAAAAACTACACGTTGCAGTGGCCCAGCCTTGTATGTGGAGGAGGCAGGCATGCAGCCACGAGCACCTTAAAGAGGAGGCCTCATGGAACCTGTCACACAGATGAAGGAAGCCTGCTGGAGCAAGAAATAAGGAAAGTACAGCCCTACCTTGGTTCACAAAATTAATTTGTTCCACGATTCTTGTCGCGAAACGAATCAAACTGTGATCAGACCGCAATCTCGACTAGATGAAGCTATGACCAGTGTCAGAGCGGGGAAGATGGCTGCGGTCGTGCTCGTCACCCGATGTGGAGTTCGCGAACAGAAGCAACATTTTGCTAAACTTTCATGAACCGAGGTATTACTTCTTATACCTCTACCCCAAAGAAAAAAATTTGCATTTAACCCTTGCATTGTGTTTCGGAAGGGGGGGGGGTTACTGCAAAGTAGGTTTTTTTCTTCTCCATGGACTTGGGCATCAACCCCAGTTTCAGGAGTCTGCAAAGACACCCCCCATATTTCTCTCAAAGGTTTACTTTAAAGTTTATGGCCAGACATTGCCCAAATTTGGCATGTCATAGCATTTATTTTTTTCTGTTACCTTGTTACCGGCTTTCTCCCTGTGATATCATCACTTGTAAAGTCCTCGTAGTTTATGGGAGCTCAGTTACTGCTGATGTAGACATAGCTCCAGAACTACACATCTACTACATCTCCAAAAAGCCCTTTTCCTGCACACCGTGTTTGGGAAGTGGAGATAGGCGCAGTTCTGGAGGCAAGGCTGACAACAATGTTTAAGGTTTCAGTGCAGCAAAGGCAAAGCAGCAGCCATTACCTTTAAGAAAGTATATATGCTACCATGTGAAGCGTTCGTTAGGCCAGGCAGCTTTTAACCTTTCCTCCTTTTGAATTATAATAGTGTTGAATGGTGCAAGTGTCCTTAAAGTATCTTCTTTTGGAGAACAGAGCTGCAGTGTTGTCAGCCCAAACAGGAAGTTGGGAGCACACTGGATTTCTGCTAAATTAACAAATATTTTTTTTGTATTCCCCTTCCCTAGTTTCTTTTAGAGCTTTCTCCAGTCATCACAAATTGCTTTCAAATGGGTATCTGAGTCTGGAATGCTCCCGTCTGATTGATTTGCAAAGGAAGCCAGTGGAAATCTAAAAGGGAGTCAGGGGCATCTGGAGAGAAGTATACAGTGTAAATCTAATAACTATATGGGGGGGGGGAACAAATCACAATAACTCGGAGACTTTAGAAAAAAAAAAAGATTCATTCTGCAGTTGTCTCCAACATCCTGTCTAGGAATTTGAAGTTCTCATTAGGCACATCATTTTGGACTCGTATATGTCTTACCTGCATGTGTGGTCATCACTGACACTTGCAATATCATTTCCTTCACAAGAACAGAACACCACATCATTGATGTAGCCAGAATGACCATCTATGACCTTCAGAAATAGAAAAGAACATGTAAAAAAAGAATGAGCGGTTACTTTATGTAATTGTACAATTAACGTGGCTACTAGAAATCTGTTTTATACACTAGGAGGCTCATTTGGTTAGATATGACCACAGTGCAATATGCAGTGATTTATAACAAACAGAATTTGTCTTGAAGTGGCCTGACCCCACTAAAAGTGCAATTGGTTGCTAAACATTACTGCATTTACAAAATTATATTATAGTTGTTATCTTATTAAAGCAATGTCCTACTTCAGAGAGTTACACATTGGCGTTTTTATCCCACTGGAAAGGTATGTTACATGCTGTGTATGTGTTGCTTGAAAAGCATATATACTTAATGGGACATAATGATAAAATATAAGACAACAGATCATGGGGTCACTTTATAAATGTTTTCACACACGATTTACACAACTTTCAGCCAGGATTTACATATTTCCCAATTGGATCCAACTTAAAAAAAGTGTGAATCATGGATGAAACTTGTGTCAATATGTGTGAAAACATTTATAAATAGACCTTCATGTGTTATATACTGTATATTCCCAAAGATGTCTGATGTTATTGATAGTTTACATAGCTCAACAATAAAAAAAAATATAGTGAATATTAACTGATTTTGACAATGAGCAACAAAATAATATCAGATCATGTGTAGGAGTAGAAATAGGGATAAACACAGAATAAACAGGTTTAATGTAAGGCAGAATTTGTCATTTTCTGACCCACTTGGTGACCAATATACAGCAGCACTAAAGGGAGGAAGCCAAAGTTTATCTATATGCCTACTCTTTTACACATTCGTTGTCTCTTAATGGGAAGAGCTGTTGAAACTGCAATTGTCCTGTACAGACCCAGGTTTTATTGACAAAAGCGGCTGCTTGAAGACCATACAGCCTGAGCCTTACCTTGCACTTATTCTCTTCATGAAAGTCAGATGTGAATACTCGTAATGTTTTATCTCCAGCAGCTGTACAAAATCTAGTTGGAAAAGAGACACATTTAGTACTCTACAGCTTATAATAGGCTTCATTTTGAGCTGAAAGCTTCGATTCCAAAACACCCAAGAATTTTATAGTACACCATTTGGCAACCAGCCACAGTTAAGGCAAAGCTGCCCCATTCTCAAAGAGGGTGTTGCAGAACATCAGGAAAAGACATTGGGGAAATTCAATACAGGCTTAGCACCGCTTTTCTGGCAGTATGGACCTTTAAAATGTCTTGCGGCAAATCCAAAAAAGCCCTGTCGTCAGTTTCGGTATCTTTGCGGACACATGCGACAGATTGAGGTAGTTCTTAATTACACCACTTTAAGAATCTGTCGCTAAGGTTGCTCCGGATTCATAAAGAATTATCATCAGTTTAGAGATTAGAAAGCCGGATGGTATTAAAGACCAACTCTGATCTGACGTAGATTAAGATGCCAGTGCTCACAGTGGGACATGTATGCGCTTGGAAGCTGTCATCAATGTAGTGTGTGTGTGAGTGTACAATTATTTTTCCACAAAGTTCAACAATGGTAGCTTTGTATTTTTCTTAGTACTGGCTTCATTTAAACAGTACAGCTTGGTCAATAACCCACCTTAAACTGCTGATTGGACAATGAATAAACACCACTACACTGGGTTGCAGAAAGATGATATAGTCATGCACTTATACAAGTGAATGGTCCCTTTGTGGCTGGACGTACAGTGTACGTCTCCCGTCACGAAGGGGTTAAAGAATACAAAGCTGCGGTAAATGGAGGTTTTCTTTAATAAATATTTGAAAAATGTACCTTAAAATAGGAGTTAACGCATCACATCTAGTTTCTGGACTCCAGGTTATAGCATCCACTCTTACTTCATGGTGAAACGTTTTGAGTATCTTAAACTCTATACCATTTACAGAGGTATCTTCTTCCTGTATTATAAATGACACACATTTTTCGTTTTATAGACAGCTGCATACAAATATTCCTGCAATACGGTAATCACAGTTTGAATATACGAAACAAAATCTATTTGCCATTGTTATACAATGACAAGTTCACACATTCGCATCTGGAGTAAAACAAACTCACCTGCCTAATTGCAATCTTCTTTAGATAAGTCCGCGTCAGTGTCGGGATGAATGAATTTCTATGTTTATCAAGACGGCCAAAAACCCCACACCAGGAAGAAGCCAGGGAGATAATGTCGGCGCTAGCAAGGGAGCTTGCCAACACTGCAGTTTTATGGACTTTATTCCTGATTTAATTAATATCAAATTCTACCTTCTGTTCCTGCATGACAATGGATGCATACACCATGAAATTTTGGGCAGGGGTTTTTAGGAGCCAGCTCCATTGACAACGACTAAAGAAAACCCCAAAAGTTGGGCGCTACTGGTCATTTTTAATGAACGTTGGCTACCTGGCTCCTGGCATTTGTCCAGTCCTGATTATGAGGGAAGATATGGATTAGTCCATAGGAAAGGCCTCAGCAGATCAAGATAAGGCTGATATGAACAGTCTTGAAATTTTAACCACTTACCTCTGAACCAGAGCAATTTATACTTTTCTACTGCAGACCTGCAGTGGGGGGAGAACTGGTAACAATGGATTACATAGGCTGGATTTGATTGTGAAGGCTGGGATTCTGCGCTATATGACCCTCTGTTTTCAGAGTGTCATTGTGGACTGGTGAGTGTTCTATGAGAGCACAGTGGGAGAGTCACGTTTTAACACGGCACTTATTAGAGTATTGTGGGTCAGTTGGATGGTTGAATTCACTGAAGGAAGACCATCACTGAATATTTGATTATCACTAATCGATGGGGTGGACACTATCAATACTTGTATAATATGAAGTTTATGTGAAAGAATGTCACTACCTTTGTGGATATTTTAAATTCTTACGCATGAAGTATTAGAATAGTTTTTTACATATTATTTGCACATCTATCACAGATTGATAAACACTGGTATATTTGCACATCAAGTGATTATTGATTGGGAGATTATATTATGTTTTATATTGATTTAGGATAGTGCAGTGCACTTTATATTTATAAGAAAGTAGTTTTAGTTTATATAAAAAGTATACTTTTTATTCTATAATTTGTCCCATCTAAAATACTTCTAAAATTATGTTTCTGGTACAGAGCATGGCAAAGTTAAAAGGAGAACTATGGGGTTAAGTCTTTTCCCCATAGTTCTCCTTAGGGGGTAACGGGAGGACACAAACTAGCGTCCTCCCGTCACCCCAGGCTCAGTATACCGCGAGCTGCAGCTCGCGGTATACTGAGACGCCGCAGCTGAAGCGGATCCCGACAATTGTGCCGGGATCCGCCCAGCTGCGAGACTGACAGCTGGCTCTGCCTATCTGGAGGCAGAGCCAGCTGTATCCGCCCCCTCCCGTTCCGCCAGTCAGCGCTGGCGGATATGGGCGGGGAGGGGGGAATCCAGCCCCTCCCCTGTCACGGCAGAGAGCCGTGACAGGATCGAGAGGTGAGCGAACGCCGGTATTTGTTCGCTCACCTCCCAATCTACTGAGCCGACCTGTGACAGTCTCATTGTCACAGGTCGGCTAGAACTATGAGATGAGTGAAAAGCACTCACCTCATAGTTCTCCTTTAATGTAAAAAAAAAAAAAAGGCAGTTTTTTTTTTTTTAATATAGGTCTATGCTTTTCTCTTGTTATGTGGTGCTGAAACAAGTTACAAAAGGAATACAACAAAAAAACTAATGGAAAATGTTTTATTTGTTAAAAAGAGGAGTAAAGCCACACCTTTTTGTGGCTTTACATCTTTTTGGTCACAGAAGTATGTTTACTAATGTACTCCTGTGACCCAAAGTCAGCATATAGCCAGCTATATGCTGACAGCGCAGAGCCGTGCTGCAGCCGGAAAGGATCCAGGCAATATTGGTGGGATCCACCCTGCTGCCTGAATGACAGCTGCCTCTGCCTCTCTAGAGCCAGCTGTGCTGGCCCCCTCCCATTTGTCCTCCAGTGAATCGTTGGAGGAACAGAGAAGAACGTGCATTTAGGTCAGCAAGAGCTCATAGCCATGCTGCATGTGCGAGTGGCATTTGAGGCCAAACTAAATACCTGGTGGTCTTCCATTCTTTACACTCTGTTCCCACATAAAACTATTGATGCAGACAAATATCTAAAATCAGTATTGTGCTATAAGTAGAAGGAAAGACAATACAACCACCCTTATTTTAAATGTTGCCTTCTCACTGCACTTACATTTCTTGTATACAGTTTATATTACATCTCAATGGAAATACTTTAACTTTTTCCAAGTGGTCACGTGACTGCAGAGCTCTGGTGACCTTGTTGCTCTGTGAAGGACCAAGCTTGGAACTTCGGGATTCGAAAGGAGGGGTATTTCAATACGGTGTACAATTGAGCTATCACTAATAACGAGTCCGTGCAGCTGTCACATCATCCCACAAACATCAATAGCTCCAAGGTTTGCCATACTTAAATGAAGACATGCCCACCATCTACACAGAGAAACACACTTGCTGAAGCTTTGTGATATTTGCATTTGAGATTTATTAAAACCAGTATGCAGGATATACAAGAATGGTGGACAAGCAACAATTTAAACCTGGGTGATTTTATTACCTTTCCTTCTATTTTAAATCTAGATGTCAGTTGCTATGATGCTTTAAAGCTTTTAAATGAGTGTTCTGTAATAAAGCTTTTTAAACCTTTTATTGGGTTTATAATGATCTCTAGTGTGCTTCAGGGCAAGGCTATGTGATCTACATTAAAGGTGACATAACACATTTTAAGTTTTTTTCAGTTAAGCATTACACACCTTACTATATAATCCATACAAATGGGTTGTTCTCGAAGAACAACCTAACTTCAATGGGCAATAATGACGTCTTACAAAACACTGTAGATCCCATTGGTTAAAAACACAACAACCCTTAGATTGGATGTTGCGTTTTTCCCCCCACAGTTTTTGTGCAGCTGCTTGCACTGCAGCACCACAGACAGATCATCTCCACAGCTATTGCAGCTTTCTACATTACAAGATAATTGTGCAGTTAGCTGTATGGTTCCAATGTAAATTCTGGAATACATCATGAAGCAAAATGTGCAGGAAGAAGGCTCAGTAAAAAGCATTGGCATCTTAGACGACACGGTGAGTTTATCTTATTTTTGTGGTTTAAAACCTAATTAGGGAAAACTTTGGCTTTACAGCTATAAAACGCTTGTAAAGACAGTAAGGATTTAAATGTGCATTAAAGAATAACAGACTTTTAATATTCAGTTTTCTTTTTTCCCCCTCAGTTTGTTTCTGTGAGCACAGTTTTGGCTATCATAAGACATATCAGTCTTATGTTAAAGCACAGCAATAGTAATAGGTAGTCTGTCTTTTCATGTGTTTGCTTACTTAGGATGTAGGAGGTAAACGTGTACTTGTAGCATTGTGACAGTTCATGTCATTCTCAAATAATGGAAGATAAGAGTTGGCTGCTGAAGAGACCTGTACACAGCATTGCAATGGTTACTGAAGGCAAATTAAGTAAAATACCAGTTATTCATTTTTTTTTCTGATATAAAAGCACAATATTTTTTTTATTACAAACAAGTAATAATGAGACCAAATGTCAGATTCCTTTTCTGGTATTTGACAACTGCTTCTAGTCAAGTGAGGAAGCCAATGGCTCCTGTGTAGTGTTTGGATTTGTGATCACATAATGACAAATAAATACCTTCTGTTTTATAGAGCCAATGCTATAAATTACACAGTGTTTTAATAAAAGGTATTTTTATTCCCTTTGGCCCCTTTAGCATAACCTGAATGTGTATATTATGATCAATGCAAGAAGACTGCCAAGTTACAAGTGTAGACTTTATGTCATTATCTAAAGAACATGATTGGTATCTTGTTACTTGAATATGGCCATTGAATTTATTCATATCATGCATTAACTGGCCCTGAAAAAGTGATCTGTGTCATAGTGTTAAACAACAGCTTAAAAGTAGCTCTTTTCTTCCATTTAAAAATTGCCCATACAAATCTGTTGCGACAGAACCCTAACAGGTTCTTTATAATAAAATAGCAGTACATAACAGAGAAATAGATTATAATAGGGAAAATTACAGTGTAATATTCCCCATTATAATCCGCATATCTAATTACATGAAGAGCCCCCCCTTGCACTCCCCCTTCCAGGATAGCAGCAGTGATGTGTCGATGTGTGCACTCACTGCAGGGGGCGGGGCATGTGACACACACACGTCTCCTGTGACTCACCTCCCCTCCCGCCGCCTGTTACTATAGACGCGGCCGGGAGGGGAGGCGAGTCACAGGACCCGCCCCCTCACTGTGAAGCCCGTCGGCAGCGCGGGGCCCCGGTGTTCGAACACCGGGACAGTGCACTGCCATATATTGCATGGCCGGACCGCACTGAGACTGTGCGGCCCGGTACCATTTGATCCGCGGACCGGGGTTGGGGAACACTGCTTTATAAAGCTTGGAGTAAGAAGCCTAATCAGAGTACTCCAAGCTTGAATTGCAGCAATGTTGTAACAAAGATTGTATTATTTCTCTACTGATGATGTTGATATGGAATAAAAGAGTAATTTCTACGCTGTTTAAACTGCAACTAAAGCCAAAACATTTTTTTAAAGTTTTGAATAGAGTGGAAAGGGTTCAGAGCATCTGTCAGTTTTTTTTTTTTTAAATTGTTGTCTGTGCCCTCGTTAGGGATATTATTTATGTTGGTGACTGATATCACTGAAAAGTAACAGAAAAAAAAAAAAAAAAAAAAACAAAAATTTTGGGTTTGAACCAAAAA